GAAAAGTTCTTCTAACATTTAAAATCTTTTCTTTTTCAGTACAAATGGTTTACATCTAGCAACAAATCCACTTGTCCGCTCTGTCGTGAGACCTTTTTCTGAGGTTTTCCCCCCGGAAGTGACCCTGAAGGAAAGCAAAGGCAGTGGACTGGGCCCACCCGGAAGCACTGGTGTGCGGAGGCAGTGAGCGTACTTAGACGGACCTGCTCGGGGGCGCCCCTTGGTTAATGCAAGGGCCCTGCAATCGGGTCTACTTACCTTCAGGTTGGTTTGTAACAGTTTGGGAACCTTTTCTTTTACATACGAATATTACGTATTTGAGAGAAAATATTTATAAAATAGTTTAATCTCTTTATATATTTAAAAATAAATATGGAAAACCCCTAAATTACAGATTTGGAATTTGTGAAAGATTTGCATTGATCTATGTTCTAGAACAGTTCAGTGAGGCAAATGAATTGAGAGGGATGATTTATACCTAGCAATATTTTAAGACTTACTTATTAGTTATGAAAACAAAATTAGTATTCTGCTATTTGTAGATTAATTTAATGATAAAATGACTAAGCTATCAACATAGTTTATCTTGAGCTGTTTGAAGCATGCTCTGCAGTCCTCCATCAGCAAGTCCGCGGGCCCTCACGGCCTTCGCTGTTAGGGCTCTGACTTCCAGAGCATGAACTCACGACACCGAGCTTTGCTGTGGAAGACTTTCGTGTGCCATGACATCCGAACTGTAGACTTGCCCATGAATTGTTACTCAGTTACGTGAGAATTTGAGAGAACGGGAATCAGATTACTTTATTCATGTAGCAGAGTGGCATCTAGCCCTCTGTAAGAGGGAGGAGGAAATGAATGAGCGGTCCTGAAACTTAAAATTGGTGATGGGGGAAATTAAAAACAAAAAGTAATGCTGTAGTTGGCTTCAATTTTGTGACCGAAGTTTGCTATTCATGCTGCCAAAGTTACATTAAATTAGATTTAAGGAAGCCAAATTTTCCAGTCAAGTTAAGGTTTTAGTACCAAGTAAAAGGGAACATGACAGGCTGACGTGGAGTAGTGAAACCCGCCTCTGTCACAGCAGTGTTACCCTAAAAGCTGTGCCCGAAGCAGAAAATGTGAGGTTTGGAACTTGGAATAATTCCATTGCAATCTTTCATCCCTGGGGAATATTAGCATATCTAGCAGCCAGGTCACTTGGGAGATCAGCTAATCATCTCTTGCAAATGTTTAATTGGCAAAAGCAATTCATGTTAATAAAACAACTGCTCACCATCAAATGGGTAAAATGGTTATTGTTGAAATAGTATGAATGTGGTCAGAGTATTGTAGTCGAGAATGCGGTATTACGTGCATTTCAGGTCTCTGGAGTTGTGTTTGTGGATGCAGAGTACTACCCGGTTCTGTCTGTCTCCTGAATTTCTTTTTAGCATTTATTGTCCTACCGCCTCGGGGCTCAGAGAGTCCGTAAGTGCAGTGCAGTTAGCGAAATCCTACTACCTCTTCTCTCTGACATAGTATTCCCAAAGGACTGCGTTACTTCTTTCAAAGGCACACACTTTTTCTTTAAAGATTGTTTTATAATGAGAGTTTGTTTATGACTTTGCCAGTATTGGTACTTCTCGGCCTCTGACCCAAACCCCACGCAGGAAATGAAGGGAGGGAGGAGCAGTGTTGGTACTTCTCGGGCCCCTGCCACTGTGAAGCCCTGTGACCAGGTGGGCACCGCTCCTCACCAGACTCCACGTCTCTCTGAGCTGTAAATACACGTGTAAATAGTGCTTGTTACTGTTACCTGCTAAAGAGAGGGCTTTCCAAAATGAGACTGGAGTTCAGAGTACCACACTAATTACAATTGTATTTATAGAGCTTTGGCAACTCTAGGGAACACCCCTTACATTATAGCATAGGGACATTTTAACTTGCATGATTCAAAGCCCATTAGCAAAATTATTAACTTAAAATCCTAATGTAAATTGAAAATTTTAGGATTTATTTTTAACTCTCTGTACCACATGCTGTAATGTATGTACATAAGTTTCCATAGCTTAAATAATTGTTATTAATAAATAAGTTTGTGCTGTGAATAATTAATTTATTATTTGGTTGTTATGCCATATGTGCCCATTAAAATTCTTTTTAATTACAAAATAATGTCAAATATACAGAGTACTAATATAAAGCCCTTGTGCTCTTCACAAACTATTTTGCCACATTTGGTTCTAATTTTTAAAGAAATAAAATGTTACTCTCTTGTACTTCTCTCTGAGGCCTCTCCTCTCTCCTTCCTTGGAGCTAAATGGAAATTGGTGGGACTCCTTCCTATTAGAGAGTTTATACTTTACCATGTGTTTGTGTTCATAAATAATATATAGTGGTTTTAAAAAAATTCATATTTGTGATTTTGTATGTTATTTTTTGTAACTTGCTTTTTAACTCAACATAACTACCTTTTAGGGCCAGATTTCATCAGTTTACTCACCAGTTCCCCCACTGATGGTCATTCCGATTGGTATTCGTTGCCATTTGTAACAGAGCTGCCCGTGTGCATTCTTGATGTGTTTTCTTGTGCAAATGTGCTGGGTAAATGCCCGGCATGGACCGGCAGCTGGTGGCTGCCTGCTCTCCAGGGGGTGTGCACCCATGAGCCCCTGCTTTCCCTCCTCCTCTCCAACACTCCGGCTTACAAGACGCTGCCTCTTCTGGTCACAGCTGTGAGATAGTAGGTCTTTGTTTTCATTTACATTTACCTGGCTGTCAAGAGTCTTAACTTCATTTCACCTATTTATTGGTCATTATTTTGTGAGTTTATTATCTTATTGATTTAATGTTTATCTATTGCAAGGCTTCTTCAAGTACCGGGCTTGACTTTTAAAAGATTTTTTTATTGATTTTCAGGAGAGAAGGGCAAGGAAGAGAGAGAAATATCAATCGGCTGCCTCATGCACTCCCCCTACCAGGGATGGAGCCCACAACCAGGGCATGTGTTCTGACTGGGAATTGAACAGGTGACTTGGTGCATGGGACAAGGCTCAACCAGCTGAGCCACACTGGCCAGGGCTGTAGGGCTTGGCTATTATGTGGTTTGTGGCTGTCTTTAATTGTACAGAATTTTCCAGTTAGGTTTAGTCAAATTTGTCAATCTTTTTTTTAAAGTTTTGTTTGTTCCCCGGGGCTTAAAAAAAACTCTATGCCTAATTCACCTGGAAATAAATGTTGTGATTGCTGGACCATGGAACTCCTGAGCCATATTGATATCTGGTTCTCACAGCATCACTTATGAAGCGGTATCTCGTCCCCAGGTTCCTGCACCTTCTCATGCCGCCAAATACCCGGGTGTGTTCTGTTCCACTGACCTATTTATCTGTTAATTCTACACTTTTTTTTTCTTTAAAAAAGGTTTGTAATTAATCTTGAAGAGTAAAGAGTCCTCGACCCTTGTTCTTCCGACTTCCCTTGGATAGACATCTCCTCACTGCACCTGAGTGGTCAGATTATTGACATGTAATCCTCCTTGGTCTAAGAAAACATGTATAGCAATTTGCAGTATATATGCAAGAAGAAAACAAGTATATGGCAAAGGATAAAAGATAGGGAAAATCTTACCAGGAAGGAGAACGAAAGCAAGGCATCCTATCTAATAATAGACAAACATGGTAATTGACCATACCTTCACTACGCCTCTCTTTGGCTAATCAGCACAATAGGCAAATTAACCGCCAACAAAGGTGGCTGCTAATTTGCATACTGCAGGCAGGGCGGTAAGTGCAGCCGCCAGCACAAGTCACCATCCCAGGCCACATGCTGGCCCCAGAAGCCGGTGATCAGGGGGAGATGGGGATCCCCTGCCCAGGCCTGACACCTGGCCAAGGCATCAGGCCTGGGTGAGGGGCCAATCCGGTGATCAAAGGGTAATGGGGGTCGACACCTCTGGCTGAGGCGTCAGGCCTGGGCGAGGGCAGAGCCGGTGATGGGAGTCCCCTGCCCTGGCCTGAAGCCTGGGCCAGAGGCGTCAGGCCGGCGTTGGGGGGGAGGGGAGGGGGGCAAGCCGGCGATTGGTGTGAACTACAGAGGAAACACTCATTGGTTAAGCTCCCTGTATGCCACTGGTAATATTCTTAGTAACTTGGGTAATAAGAATCCAAAAAGGTGATCTAGGGTTTTTCACCACACTCCTGGTGAAAAAAACAAAGGTCCGCTGCTGGAGGGTTAAGAAATGTCATATTCTGTCCTAGCCGGTTTGCCTCAGTGGATAATGCCTTGGCCTGCCGAAGGCAGGGAGAGGGT